ATTTTATATATATATATATATAAAAAACTGTCAGAACACTTGTGAAAATTCCTCAAGTACAGCTTATTACACTGCACTACAGACAGTTGCTCAAATCTAGACCCCTGGCAAAGTGCTAGAACCATGAACCATCTGTGGCTACTGGTAATAGAACTCATGGTCCTTCCACAGAACAATGAATGTATACCTAAATTAAATAAAGGCGGGGGGAAAACCCTTGTGGTACACAACGTGTGGGTGGGGGAAATTGAGTTTGAGTTTAAAAAAAAAACCCTCAAAAAGGAAAAAAATGACAGGTCCTGACTCTCTAGAAGTAGTCTTTGATTTGTCTGAATTTAGTCATCTCAACCCTTAGCTGTCTAGACAAGGTTTTGTACATTCAGTAAATGAACCAGGCACTCTCAGCCAACACCTCAGGCAGGTAATTAAGATACATATATATCACCACCTGGAGGAGTCTGTCAGTCTCTTGATTAGAGGGGACCAAGACACTTGGAACCAGACCAATCTTTGTCATCTAAAACATCAAGATGAGCTGCCTTTTAGTGGATCTGATGACATCAGAAAAAGCCTATGTGTCACTGAAAGCAAAGAATGCAGCTAACATTTCCACACACAGCTGATGCACAGAGCAAGGCAAGATTTACTTAGATTTTTCTGAAATCAAGGCTGCAAGAAATTAGGTCTTATAATTCTGGTGTCCTAATGAGATAATGCTCAATTCTCTCTTCTCCCAGACAAAGGATTCAAGACATTATAGTTCCCACTCTCCAACCCTTCCTGTGATGACTTGCAGAACTGCATATAGCATAGGACTTTTTTTCTTAAGCAGAAATTACAAGTAATGGCAGGCAGGGAGAGACAGGGGCAGGGGGGAAGCGTACTGAATATAACAGCATCATTCTGAGGGGAACATAAGGAAAAGTTTTGATTATTACTCAAATGGAGTACCCTTTGATAAACAGATATGTGTGTTCCCCCAATACAAGTTCCAACCTATTCCCAGAATGAAATAATCTGAGTAGCCACAATAATGGTGGCTTTGGCATGGGAACTGAGGGCTCTTAAAAACTGTGGATGCAGCCAAGGAAGAAGGAAAACTCATTTAGAGAAGGTATACACAAATACAAAGGACACAGGCAGTTAATTACATTTATTTTGTATCATTATGTATTTCTTTTGGGGCTTTTTAAGGAAAGTTCTTAAAAGGCCTCTCAAGTAACCTAATGTCTGCACTATTTCTTATCAGTGACAATATTATCATTGCAGATCATTTTGCAAGGCAGAACTCTTAAGAGAGTGATGTAACACTCTGGTGGCTAGCGGGCAACTTAGTAATAAAATAATTGCTATGAAAAGCATTAAAAATCATTAGGAAGAAATCATCAATCCAGAATACTGTATTAAAGCTGACTTTGTGACACACTACTTTCTTAGTGCCATCTTATACAGTGAGCTTTAGCTCCAGGGTCACCATGAAGCCTGAGGGCAAAAAGGGTGCTGAGGATACCTCTACTTCTACCTCTAATAAGTCCATTGTAAAGTTGTGATGTGTGCCTTTTCAAACCTGGTCCGAGGTGTTCTTCAAGCGAATGAATTTTCCATCAACGTCTATCTCCTCAATAGAGATACTTCCAGTGGAAGAAGCTGAGTGGAAAATGCTAACACTACTGCTGGCTTCAGATTCCTCCACATCAATCTTCCTCCTCTTCCCTCTGGTTGTATGCACATTATGGCTTGAAGAAGCCCGTGAAACTGTCACTCGGGAAGATGGGTTTGGAGAAAGTCTCAACCTACATTGAAGAAAGGAAGAAATATGCACACTTTGGTTTTACTTTTTCCACCTTTTTTTATAACTCTCTTCCTCCCCAAAGAATTATACAGGAAAAAGGTACAGGAATATAGTAAACAAAGTATGTTACATGGAAAAAGTGAAGCCTTAGGCACTTTTTGAAGAATTGAATAAAATGTTGTCAAACAGCTGTTTAATGCTTTCGGAGCATAGAATACTGAAAGACATTAAGATCATAAAGGCAGCTCTATGCATTTGTTAAAGACTGCAGTAGATGGAACAAGTAAAGAAACAACTCTTTGCATGCCTTAAGCCACTGTATTGTAGGAAGTTTATGCAAAAACCCAATGGCACAAGAGCTTTTGCTGTTTCATCCCTACACCTGAGAGGAATCAACCTGGACTAGCAGGATGTAATTCAGAAAACAATGAAGTAACAAGCTACTTTAAATGACAGCTGTCACTTATCAAGCAAAAATTCTCAGTATTGTTCAGCTCTGTGGTCAGATGTAGAAAATGCAGCTAGCTGATAAGCTGGGCAATCTTAATAGCTATTACTTTATTAAAATTATTCAATACTTAAAGAAATCTGGCTAACAAATAACCCTGTAATTAACTCTGTCCTGGTTTCGGCAGGGATAGAGTTATTTTTCTTCCTAGCAGCTGGTATGGTGCTGTGGTTCAGATTTAGGATGAGAATAATGTTGATAACACACTGATGTTTTTACTTGTTGCCAAGCAGTCAAGAACTTTTTAGCTTCTCATACTGCCCTGCTAACAATAAGGTGGGGGGTGCATAAGAAGCTGGGAGGGGACAAAGCCAGGAGAGCTGACCCAAACTGGCCAAAGGAATATTCCATACCCTATAATGTCATGTTCCATGTTAACTGTGGGGTGGGCTTGGAGGCAAGTCAGCTCAGAGTCTTGTGGAGCACTGACTTCAGGTGGTGAGAAGTTGTGCTGTTCATCACTGGTTGTGTTTGTTTCATTATTTTCCCTTTTTTTGTCCTATTAAATTTCTTTATCTCAACCCACGAGTCTTTTTTCCTTTTCCTTTTTCAATTCTCTCCCCCATACCACTGGAAGGGGGGAAGAGAGTGAACAGCTGTGTGATTGTTTTAGCTGCCTGCCAGATTAAACCACAACACTGAAAAATAATAGTAAACACGTACACCAAAGACCTACAAATGACAATTCATTACCTCCTCAATTGCTGCATCTTAATAGAAGAATGGTGTTTGTTCCCTTGAGAGCTATTGGTCTGATACTCAAGCAGCTTGGTCTCATGGAGTCTAAGTGTCAGACAGGAGGGGGCAAAAACAGAGAGTGCCTTGGAAACTGTAGTAAAGCACCTAGTGAATGCATTCCCAGTAAGAACTGCCTTTTAACACAGAATGAGAAAAGTCAGGGAAGCACACAGATACCAGCATTTGTTCCTACATTCTTTCATACCTCTTCTCTTCACCCTCCAGCAATTTCCGGTATGCATCGATTTCCATATCGAGTGCCAGTTTAACGTCCAGAAGTTGTTCATAGTCATTCAGCTGCTCCTGCATCTGCTTTCTTATGTCTACCATTTCCTTCTCTTTCTCAGCCAGTATTTTGCGACAGTTTTCCCGTTCCTTGGCCAAGCTGTCCTCAAGCTCTTGCACTCTACCTTGCCATGCTCTAGTCTAGAAAGCATTGAAAATATCAGCGGTGCAAAGGAAAGCTCACCCAAACCTTCATGCACTCTGCTATTCAGGCAACATCAGATTAAAAACATTAAGCATCCTACCCCCTTTCTGAATTCAAACTCACCCATATACAACTTCCTGTTCTCCACCTCATCTACTACAAACACACCACCTTATGTTCCAATGAAACTCACAATATACTTTGAGACACAACTACCTGCTCCATTTTTTCTGAGATCTGAAGATATGTTACTACACCTGAATTTATTCAGTCAGGAAGAACTGAGCTTAAGAGTCAAACTGTTTAAGATGTGCTGGAAAGGACACAAAATTGAAGTGCAGCTCAGGGTACGTCAGATACTGCAGTAACTGCTCTTTACCTTTCAGATGTCTACTTCCTGCTTCAATTTACTGCTGCCAATTCTGAATTCTGGCAGGAAGTTCCTCTAAGGGAAATAGGGGTTGTTGTCAGTGAAAGCCTGTCTGCCAGTTTTCAAAGCCTTCAAGGTTTGCTGGAAGTACATTGGTAAGTGTTCCATGAAGAAAGCTAATTTGTGACATACTTTAAATGCCACATCAAGCCAGTAGAACTTCATATTGTATGTACAGAAGGGAATGTTTATCAAAGAAAGGCCAAATGATGACAGCTTTAAAGTTTACTTTCCCTGACCATGCTTTCTTCTGTTTGACAGTCTCTTGAGTTTTGGGTTTTTTTTTAATTAAAGGACAGAGGAACTAATGCCCCACAATCACCTTGTCTGGTTAAGTCACTAAGTTTGCTATGCAGGCACTCTACTTAGATGTCATCATAGTCTAGAGACAATGAAAACAGGCAGTCTAAAAGGATGATGCAGAAGACCAGTGTAACTGTCAATGTTAAGAGCCAGATAAGGAATTTAATAAAAGAAATTGAGTGTCACATGGAAGATCCCAGTAGAAACTACTACAGAGCTCCATGTTGGTAACTCAAACCAGACCAGCATCAATGACAAGACAGGTGTCTTCTTACAAGAGAAGAAAGCTAAAGTTCGTGCTAGCAAATGGAAAACAAAAACTGTACTGGGTTGACATGACTGGCAAAAAAAACCCAGAGCAGCAAAATGTTTTTTTTAGTGCACAATCACAATCAAACTGGCAGAAGTTGATTTTGATAGCCCTAAAGTTAACAACCAACACCTCTGCAAATTCAGAAGCAAGTTCTCTGAACCTAGCTGTCACTCCCAAGTAAGCAACAGAATACAGGTTATTAACAAAAGAAAGAAGGGAAAAACAACCTCAGAAACGCCTGTTGACTGAAGCACCACAAGAAAGATGATGGTAATCTAAAGGCAGAAATAAGATCTAACTAGGCAAAACTCTCAATCCAATTCTTGTGTAGCCTCATGCACATTCATTATGCCTGCCAACTTACTTCAAAAATTATGAAAAAACATCCCATGCATTTATATTCTTCACTTGAAATACCCAGAATTTAAGTCCTACAAGAGTCTACTGTACAGGAGGAATACTATTCAGAATGTATCATAGAAAGGATCAAAGCCAAATATTACTAATATTTATATTTTAAAAAAAATATTTATTTTGTTGCATTTTCAACTGATTGGTAAGTTACAAAAGCCCGCTTCAAAACCAACTCCTAACATTTCTAATTTTCACTCTAGATTTTCCACTGCAGTGCACATGATATTACTCCCATCAAATAAGCTAGTACTGAACATATGGCTTGTCACAGGTTGTGTCATACTTCGAGTGTAATCTATATGCTCTGTGATCTAAGTATAATTAGTTTCTGCTCAAGACCCTCCTCTACAAATGCTCAAGTACAGTTATTTGATGCAATTTCTCAGCCTCCTACTTTATCTTAATTCGGGTAAGATTTTATTTTTTTTTTACGTTCTAGATGCAAACTGGATCTAGGATGAAAAGAGACACCAAACAGAGACTGCATATTCCAGCTTTGAATGTTACTTTGTACAATCCTATGCTGGGCTGTCTAATTACTACAGAACAGAACTAAATTGCTTAGAATGTCAAGAAGTTTTAATACAGAGCTCTTGTCTAAAATTGTCCCATCTATCCACAAAAGTTCCCACATGAGACAGTTAACTGCATCACCTCTCAAATACTCACTCTGTAACAGGATACTGCACAAAAAATTCAACTTTGTTGAAAGGAGACACTAAGAACAGAAGACCAGTTCAAGTCATGATGTTGAATATACTTAAGAGTTAATGGAAAGGAAGTCTTAATATAAAAAACAACAATTGTAGTTAGCAAGACTGAAGAGTCACAAACAGCTTGTTACCTCTTCCTGAAGGCTGCTGAGATGGGAAGACAGATTATCAATTCGTATGCGACTTTCCTGCAGTTCTTCTCTTACTGAGTTGGCCGAAGAACTGCTCATCTCATAGGACAGTCTAGCATTGTCAAGCTGCAGTAGATCAAGATACCAGTTTCAAAGTAAGTTTTAATAGAAGAAAACTGAGTCACTAAAAACCACGCAAAAGACTAAGCCACAAAGTTCCTCTTTGTAGCTCTAACAATGAAACATCTCTTTCTTTAGGGGTTAAATATGCTGGCTCAATTACCATGCTGAATTGCCCTACCTGGGATCACAATCCTCTGAATATTTATTCTAGGATTAAAAACTTAAGTTTCTCTTTTAGATGTAACTGAAATTGGACTGCTAAGTTCAGTTTTCATGCTGGCCAGTGTTTCGTTTTAAATATTTAATTACTGTAGCACTCGATTATGCTTAAATAGAAGAAGCTAAACTGAAAATATCAATTCTCTAAAACCAAGCAAACTTATGATAAATTTTAGCCAACATAAGCAAATTGGTAATGTGCCTTCAGATTACAGTACCAGTGCCAGGAGTCACTACTGCTTCGTTCTATCACGACTTTAAGCTCAAATTTTAAACTAGCTGCATCACTCCTGCTCAACTCTACCACATCCACTTGAGCAGCACCACACATTATTGAACTTGTAGTTGCACATGAAATGGAATCTAAAAAAACTTTAAAAATAAAAGAGTACAAAAATACAGAAACAGTATTCCTGAAGAGAGACAATAAGGAAGCCTCAATTATGAAAGGATTTTTAGATTAAAAAAATATTAAAACAAATATTTTTGGCTAGATCTTATTTTAAGTGAGTTTTTCCAGGTTAGATTGAAGTCCTGAAGACAAGTACACTGCTAAGACTGTAAATATTGAAAGACTGAAAACTACGCTAATAAATTCAGTTTGTATCAACTTTACTGCTGTAACATCCTACCTTGTTTTTAAAAATACTAACTGCAACAAGTGTAGCCACAGAAACCAGGTTCAGTTAAGACATCAGGATCCCTCCTGACAGAAATGCTGAATCATAGCAGAGGAAGGAAATTATGAAATATAGCTCATTTCAGCTTGAGTACGCTTCCTCTCTAGAGGAGTGAAAAGTAGAAATCAATTTGGTGTAGTAAGACTTCCACATGTTTTGTACATGGTCAGGGGACACAGGATGCTCTCTGCTCAGCAAGCCCTATTATGAAATAAGTTTTATACAAACTATGGGACACCTTATTGATCCTCAAGACTACGTTACAGTTGATACATAATACATGAACTTTCCTTGAATTCATAGTAAGCCCAGTACTAATCACTTTTTCCCCACTGTTCACCTTCACACGATGCTTCCTAGTCTTCTATTATTGTACTTTCTGAGGATTAAACCTGCTTACAAAATGAGACCTGAAAATGCAAACTGACTTTCAAAAACATGGCAGTTTTAAACCAAGTTCCATAATAAAATCCTCCAAAATGCAAGTAATTAGGGTATCTTTCCATTAAATAAAAGTAAAGTATATCAGACAACTGTATGAAAAGTTCTTCTCACTTTGGCATTGTAAGTCTGTTCAAGCTCCTTTTTGTACAGCTTCACTTGTCCATCATGCTGCTCTCTTATTTCATGAAGGGCTTGTGCCAGTTTATGTTCATATTCAATTTGATGCCCAGAATCAACTTCAACTACGCAAGTTTCTTGTTTCCTTCTTGTTTCATTGATTTCCTAAGAAAAACAGAAAAATAAAGTAACATTCAGTAAATGAGACACAAGTTTCAGGATACTATCCACTGCATGGACAGCAATGCAGATTTTAGCTAGCCTTGTGGATCAGTATTAGATTAGTTTGACATTGAAACTTTCAGTAGACACACAGGGCCATGTCCTCAGTCTGATCTGCATAGTACCTTATCTTGCAATAGCCCGTCATTGAAATAAGAGCTAGGATACCACCAGCATGTAAAGTCACATTTCCTTCTGAGAGTTGTCTGCATTTTCAACAACTGGACCTAAATATGATTAAATTTTAGAAATGCATCCCCTTTTTCTTTACATATCTACTATGCTTGCACAAAACAAAAGTACTGTGAAATAAAATGGTTACTTTCACAAACCAGCATCTTCCCCATTTATTTGTATGCTTGCCCATAGTCTCTGGAAAAAAGGATTCCAACATGAACAAAGCTGAAAATACAACTAGCAAGGAAACGTGCACATGGAACAAGATGGTATGGTTAAGTACATTTGTTACTGCACTAAAGTCTCTCCTGGAAAGCCTCAAGTACTACAAGTGAAAGGGAGGGTAGCAAGAAAAAGCTCTAAAAGACAAATATTCATCAACTTCTGTTTCTATTATTTGAAATCATCCTAGAAAGTTATGAAATTAAAAAACAGAACAAGTCCATAGCATCTGTTTGAGCATCCCTCTCCACTTTATTTCTCATAAAGGGATTATGCAAGATATTAACCTTTCTCATTACTACGAAAAGATGTGTACATTGCAATACTATGGGCACAATTTAAACACGAAACGTGATACATGAAGATATTTTATCACATTTCTCCTACAAAAAAAGTTGGAAATCTTCCAATTAGAATAGAGGTAAACCCTGCTCGAAGTTGGAGTTCAGATCAGACGACTTCCTGAGGTCCCTCCCAAGCTAAGTTATTTTAGTATTCTAGAATGACCCCTCAGCTGTCATATTCCCTTTAAAAATGTGAATTTTTGAAATTAAAGCATTTACCTCCTCATACATATTTTTACGGAATTCCAAGTCCTCAATGAGACTCTGACAACGGTTTTCAAGATCTACCTTCTGTAAGGTTTCGTTTGCAAGCTGTTCCTTGGCAGCAGTGCAAGAAATTTCAAGCTTTAAGAAATAAAAGAATCAACACAATAATTATGTAGCAATACTCACATAACACAAAGACCTCAGCTACCTGGAAGTACAGCTAACTACATGTTATGGTTGAACTTGTCAATCAAATTCAATATTTACACCACTAATGTTCCCCCCTGCCTTTTGCAATTGCTTACACAAGCAAGTTCTAGATATTTCACATTGCTAAGTAGCATTTTAAAGCTAGTTACCCATTTTCCTTCCAAAACTTTAGGGTTTTTCTACATGACAAATACCAGTTTCCTGGTCTCCTCAATCATTCTCTTGAGGTGGTGTTGCTTAAGATCACATATCATGTGTTTTAAAGGGTTAACAAAACTAGCACAAGACTTCTTTTCCTCTTTGTTCTACCAGACGCCCAGAAGATGGAGAACCACAGGCAGAATCAAAAGGCGGGCAGAGAGAATCACAAACTGTTACTTGTCATCTGTATTTGTGAAGTCAGTCTCTCCTCAAACAGTTCTGGAATTTGCCAAGTTTATTTTTGACTCTTGACCTGCTTTGTTCAACATAAGTACCATCCCTTGCAATGTCAGAGTCTGCAATTTTAAAAGCACACTATTCCACCATTCATGTTATTGATAAACTGGACAATACCGGACACAGACATCTACTCATTCCTACTTTCAACATTGACAGTTTGTTATAGTTATGACTAGATGATAGGTCTGCATCCAGTTTTTGACTATGAAGTTGTATTTTTACCAGAATGACAGCTCTTAGTATGGATGTATTATTTATAAAAACACCTTATTTGCTGACAAAAGCTTGATGGTTAAATATTTCTTCTTCTCACCTGTGCAATTTGATCTTTTAAATCCTTAACTTGTCCCTCCAGACTTTTCTTATCACCAAGGGCTGTAGCCAGTGCAGCTTCTTTAGAATTGAGGGCTGCTTCAAACTCTTGAAGTCTGGCTTGAGCTCCATTAAGATCAGATTCCTTTTTTGCATAGCTGGAATAAATCAGAGAAAGTGGTAAGAATGTCTAGAAATGCCCCCAAAGTAGACTGCTGACTAATAAAACAAGGTGCAATCTTGACGTGGTTTAGCCCCAGCCGGTAGCTAAAATTACAGAGTAAACACAGGTTTACAAACCAGAGCCATGTGACCAAACAGAACATCATTATGACCAGCGACTGTTTCAATAACATATAAATGCTTATAACAACTTTGTTTTAACACACTTGCATCAAACTTGTCGTTATCACAACCCCTCGAGCCCCACGTTGGGCGCCAAAAAGGACTGACGTGGTTTAGCCCCAGCCATGGTTTAGCCCCAGCTGGTAGCTAAGTGCCACGCGCAGCTCGCTCACCCCTCCCCCGGCGGGATGGGGAGTAGAACAGAAAAACAATGGCAAAGCCTCCAGGGTTGGGATAAGGGCAGTTTACTGGGACAGCAAGGGAGGGGGAAAACAATCAGCAACAGTGCTGATAACAAATATTAACAATGGGTGATAACAGAGAATGATTTTACCAATCCCATGACCATCCAAAGGACCAAATGCTCCACCGAAGGACCTGTGGAACTGTCTGGGAGCCAGGCCCACAAGTCGAACCCGCCCCTGCCCGACTAGCCCCCTTTTATGGGGAGCATGACTTCACATGGTAGGGAAAAACCCCTGGCCAGCTTGGCTCACCTGTCCTGGCTCCTTGTGACATTAACTCTATCCTTGCCAGAACCAGGACAAATCTGAACCTTAAACTTGAGACACTCATCAAAAGCATTTTGTCTTGACTTAATTTACTCTGAATCAACTCCTTAGTTCTGCTTTCTCATCTAACACAATAATAGTTTAAATATTTTGCTTGGGCTGTAGAAACCTAAATATATGGTGAAACTCAGAGTGTCAAACAAGTATGAGAAGCATACACAGAAAGGGGAAACTATGTGTTTATTAAAGGCACCTCTTGTTTTCTCTTTGGCTAGCCACTGTAAAACTGTTCTACTTTCACCATAATCTTAATAGAAGAAAGTTCTTCCATCAGAAGGCTATTTCCATAGAGTAGAAACAAGTAAATTACGCCCATTGCCTTTTATCCATGCCGGAACTTGTGCAGATCCACTCTCTGGGCTGCAAATAGCCTATTTCCAATTAACAGATGAACTTCTCAATGAAAATTGACGTTCACTATCTATAAGCCAGTCCTCCATAAGCAGAAGCTGTAGCATAGTGAACTGCTTTGCAGCATACTTCTAATCATACATAATGGCAAAGTTCCACAGATCTGAGGAAAGATACTCAAATCCTGTCTATACAATAATCTGTGCCATCACTGAAACTGCAGAGGTACACGTGTCTTTTTTTATGAAAGCAAACACAAAAGTTTTTCAATTTACCACTCAAATTAGTGTTCGTGTCTACACAAGTGGTCAGTTTCTAGGTGTTTATTTCCTAAAATGGCATATGCTAACAAAGAAGTCAAGAAAAGTAATGCCACATAAACACAAACTCACACTCTTCAGCCTAAATTAATTATTCACAAACAATGCTACAACAGGTTACTATCAAAAACAGGGGAAAGGAAAACCATAATCAGGAATCAAAATTACTGTTGACCTTTAAATGGCACAAGCAGCTGTGTTTAAATGTGTAACACAAGTTTTTCCACCTTGAAGTTGATTCTTTTTCTCTTTGGAATACCCACATTTCTCTAGTAAGGGCAGTAGCATATACAAATTCTAGATGTTTATAATCAAACTATTAACATTTTACAGGAATGAAAAGATTCAGACTGAATAAGACAACAGCTAGCACATTCTTCAGTTTTCACACTGCTCTTTGCAGAAGTGAAAAAAAATCAGAAATCACACCACTAAACTGAGAAGACGTAAACCTGGATAAGATTCTGAAGAACAAGATTCAAAATTGTTAAATCATTAATACATTCACTATTTGTTTAATCACTGTACTACTTATAGGAAACAGCAGCAAGGCTTCTCAGAAAAAAACCTCAAACCCTAATGTAAAAATCAACACACAATTTTAAAAGGACTCTCAAATTTAAAAGCTGCTCTTCCAAGATTACATGCAAGCATATGCAACTAACATCATGCTCAAGAGAGATGTGTGCACAAAGGCTTGCAAAAAGAATCTGTAGAAATAAAATTAATATGTGGATGTTTTAGCACTATAACCACAAGATGGCAGGCTTTACATAACAGACTTAGCACTAGCTAATCGCGCTCCTGTTGAGTAGCACCACACTTAGCAAAGTCATAGACTGCAAGAGCCTGTGACAGACTCTTCTATACTCAACTATTTTTTTTTTTTTTCCCTTTTCTGCTGCCCAGTGTTATCCAGTCCCTTCATGGCATTTTACTTACCACTTCTAAGATCCAACAGTTCAGAGCAGTTGGGTCCACAGCTCAGACAAAAGCACAGAATTTAGGTTTTGGCCACGTGGGCTCCTGCTTCCAGCTCTCTGCATTATTCACTGGAGACCTCTGTCCTGTCCTTACCCTCCCACCCAGACCTGTTAGGATCTTTAGCACAAAAGAAAGCTATACAGCAGAGGAAGAAAGAGAGGTTGATACCAAGCTATTACTTTTGTTTATTTAACAGCCTAATCCCACTGCAGAAACTAATTTCAGAACAAATGAGAAGACCAATTGACAATACAAAGCAAAACATCCAGAGAAATAATCTCTAAAATATTAAAAATGCATAAAACTAGTTCCTTGCCACAACTACATTTACTATAAATGCTTACACTCTACGAACAATTGATGATAATCAATGACTATTATGATCATTTACTAATACCTTCAATAAACCACAGAATTTCCTTCAAAGTTACTTCTAATCACACTGTCTCCTCTTACAGGAGAGCAGATGTACTACAACACTGGAAAACTGCCACAGTGAAATCTCAGCCTGCCAAAGACAAATGTAAACAAGGAGTTTCCTAAATGAGCATTAACACCAGCTCATGCTTCCCAAACAGCACGATTACTTCACATGACAAATCAGAAAACAGGCAAGTCCAGCTCAGGATTTTGACCTGCTGTTCACTTAAATAAGTCCCCATAATGAACATTCACCTCACCAGTGGAAATTTATCCTGAAACTCGACCCATAAGCAGACTAACACAAAAGTAACAGTAAGCCTGACTTACTGAACTGCTCTTGTTCAACGTTACTACGTAACACAGCTGTGTCACACTTCACAATGTAAACCACTGTTGCATCAATTGCTCGAGTTACACATCAAGATTTTTCCTCCACCACATTGTCTCCACCGTTCTCCCCGGTCTGCAGCTATTGCAAATGAGAACACGATACAGTTCCACCCAAAAGCAGAAACTTAATCCAGTCTATAACGTGCTACAGGATGGAGCAGCTGAGAGCTCTACTCTTGTATCTGCCCTTAAATGATGATGTTATGAAATGCCTAAGGATCATGACTTCCATTACTTTGCCTGCATTGTCTATTTAGCTCTTTTCTCAAGGAACATGAAATATGCAGTAACCTGAAGTCCCAGCCAAGGCCACGCTACTGTTGTAGGAAGGGCACTCTACCTAAAATTAACAGCTAGGAGTTTGGTGCCAATTCCATCATGACACACTTTGATACTTTAGCTGAGAATCCAGCTATTTGCAAGCAACCACCTGGTTTCACCTTCATTATTCATGGACATATCCAATAGTTGGAAATCCATTTGCACTGACTCTTTTTTCCCTATGTAACATTAAAGCTTACATGCCCAGACTGCCTTTAGTCCTCCACTCACAGACAGATCTTCATTGAAGCCCTAATTCCTCACCTCGCCACTGTCAACTTGAATCTAATGATTACCTGATACCCTTATTTGAAAGGGCTGTCTGCATAGTAGTCTAGCTTCCAGCCATGGCTATCCTGCTATAAACAGTGATGAAGGCACACTGTACTCTTGTGAATCCTGGCCGTTCTCTTGCACTACTCTCTCAGTCCAACAGTACCTGTACTACAGCATGAACAGGGTCGCAACTGGTTTTTCCAGCCAGATTGGTTTCTCAATTCAGTTCATGGTGCAGTCACACAATATAGAAAATGGGTGGTTATGGGTTTTATTTAACTGAAAATCAAAATTAACAATTGAATGCATTAACTCTGCTATTTTTTCCCCAACACTAATCCATTGACAAACTTTGTGGTCCCAAGACAAAAGTTAAAAAGGTATCTAACTACTAAAAAAAAAAAAAAAAGACCAAACAGAACAGGCTCTCTTTTGCTAAGGGAAAACAGCAGTAACAGAAATCAAGTTTGAGGTAAACACAAACAAGGAAGAAAATAAACAAACTGAATCGAATCAAATGTGTAAGAAGCAAAATCTAGCGGCACAAATCAATTCATTGCAAGAGTGGAGATCTTGGTGCTGTGCCATAAAGCTTGCAATCTTGAGGCTATCTGATTACAGATCTACCGTTTGTAACATCTGAATATCCAGCAAAATGAACACAAATTGTAGTTATTAAGTAAACCCTACTTATCTACTCATGTATTTTCATATCATGAAGTTAACATCTTTCAGAAAGGACGTTTAGAAAGCCAAGACTCCCAACAGC